AATGCTGGATTAGTTTCAGCTTTTGTCTTCTCCAGATGTTAACTGATGGACTGGAGTGCTGTGGATTATTGTGATGTTTTTATCAGCTGTTTGGACTCTCATTCTGACGGCACCCATTCACTGCAGAGGATACCTGCAATCCATTGTATAAATCAAAGCTCGTCTATGTCTTCTATTGAAAGCAGCTCTTTAATATGCATTCAGCTTGTGAACAACTCTTTGCTGCAGGTAAAGAACACTCATTTCCATTTGTATTTGAAACTGTATCAAAAAATGAACATCAAACTATGGAGACAGTGTTTTTGATGTCAGCGGCCTGTGCTCCAGTAAAGGCTAGAAGCACTCCTGCATCGTGTTTGAGCTCTGCACGACACTGACTCGCTGCTCATGACAGGATGTGCTGTAATGAACTTCCTGCATTCCAGCGTGGCTCAGATATCCTGCTAATGCATCGCTGTGCGAGTCCGTGACCCTTTCCTCCTTCGGTCGGGCGTGTTCATTATTACTGACTGTTGTATGAATGTTCATCATTAAAGACGACTGATGCTCTGTGTCTCTAGCATTCCGTCGCTCTGATGTCACATCTCACCTTACAGTCAAAGCCATGCTGAGTCTGAAAACACGCTCGCTGTAACCTCCCGAGCATTTCCTTTAGTTTCTCAGAGTAATCGCTGAGACTGCTCTCGTGTTACAGTGAGCCACTGCAGTCTGTGAGAGAGAGGGGAATAATGTGTGTGGAGGATGACGTATATCTGCTCGACTGCAGGGGGGCCTGGGAAACGAAACCAAGAACAAACAGTCATGATGTCTTTGGCTCTGCTGTTGGAAATATTGACATTCCCCGTGTTTGACTTTCTGTCACAGCTCGAGTCAGGAGTCACGGCTGACGCCAGGATCGAGGATCGAGCCGCTTTATCATCTTCACTGAGCGTTTGTGAGCGCTGACTAGTGTAAGCCATATGGTTACAATGCGGAAAACGTGCATGTGTCTGTGTGGGGGAAAAATATTATATTTTAGTTTGATTACTTTTTAAAAGATTAATTAAATTATTGTTGTATGCCTTGATTTGATTACCACAGTTTTCTGAAAAAAAAAAAATTATAAAATCATAGGCCCTATTATTTTAAAAATGTAATACAAATTCAATTCATTAGACATGCTTTTTGATCATTAAAATTTAATTAAACCAATAAAACCGATTCCAAAATCAAAATACAGAATTTGAGAAAAATAAAACTAAATTTGGGATAACATAAAACAGATTTCATAAGGACCTAAAATGTATTTTGTGTTAAACTTTTAATACAATTAATTGTTTTGCGATTTCAATTAATTATAAATACTAAAATTCTATATAACTATAGTCCAGTAATCAAGGATGACATAAAATAGATTTTTGCATAAAATTAAACGACCATATGGCCCTAAAAATGTAATTTTCGTTAAACTTTTAATAAATTGATTTAAAGTTTTCATTCCAAGTTTCATTATTTTTAAATTAATTAGACATGGTTTTTGATTATTCCAATTAAATTGAACAATTAACACAGAATGAGCAGCAGATCAGCATATTATAGTGATTTCTGAAGATCATGTGACACTGAAGACTGGAGGAATGATGCTGAAAATACAGCTGCGCATCACAGACATACATTACATTTTAACAGAGATTTTTGATCAAATAAATGCAGCCTTGCTGAGCAGAAGACTTCATTAAAAGCATTTTAAAATCATGTTTCCAAACTTTTTACAAGTACTGTATAATATAAAGTATATAATATATACAATATAATTTCATAAGGTCCTACTAGACTAGTGGATTGTCCAAAGTCCAAATAATGGCCGTCTGAAATGAACCTTATACACCGGTGACATTTACACTGTAAAGTACTGTTTTATTCCTGAGATTAATCCGCATAAAGCTATAGGGTTTGTTGAGCAATGCTAATGAATGCCGCCCGCACTCTCTCAAGCTGGAGAAACTGCACGTAACGGATGGATGTTTTTCAGGCCGTTCACAACACTTGAAGAAGTCCAAACCCTCTGATGGCCCCTTGTTTACTGCTGTTGCTGAAGAGGGAGTTTTCCGCGCACAAGCTGAAATATTGTTTTGCAGTCATTTGCAATCTTCCATTTAGTTTAATTACCCTACAGCTGGTTTCAGTTTTTTTTCTGCGGCAGAACTTTCTCACCGCTAATCTGAGCTGGTTCCAGTGCTGTTGAACGTCAAAAGGGTGCTTCTACTAAATACTGAGCAAAGGGTCTGAATACTTAGGACCATGTGATATTTCAGTTTTTCTTTTTTAATAAATCTGCAAAAATGTCAACAATTCTGTGTTTTTCTGTCAATATGGGGTGCTGTGTGTACATTAATGAGGAAAACAAATTAACTTAAATGATTTTAGCAAATGGCTGCAATATAACAAAGAGTGAAAAATTTAAGGGGGTCTGAATACTTTCCGTACCCACTGTATATACAGTATATATGTATATGAAGTGCAATATAACTTCATGGGGCCCTGCTAGTGTGTTAATTTCCAAAGTCCTCTTGAATGGCCTCTAGTTTACTGCTGTTGCTGAAGAGGGAGTTCTCAGCGCACAAGCTGAAATATTGTTTTGCAGTCATTTGCAATCTTCCATTTAGCTTAATTACCCTACAGCTGGTTTGAGTTTTTCTGCGGCAGAACTTTCTCACCGCTAATCTGAGCTGGTTCCACTGCTGTTGAGAGTTAGAGCGAAACACACCCTCCAGTTCAGAAACACACCAGCCACAATACAGGCCAAAAGCTGATCTTTGTTTCATCAGCACTCTTAGCGGGCTCCAGGCTAATGCTAACCCAACATCACTGAGACTTTGAGACAAACAAGATGCGAATGCAGATGTGAGTCTCTGAGGTTGGCGTGTTCCGCTGGGGTTTCCCACCGGCAGAGGCTCATGGGAATCTGAATAACACGGGCTTCCCAAAACACCACTTTGAGTCGCCCTGGCTAGTCTACATGCTATCAAGCTCTGATTCGTCTGGAGGAGACTCGTGCACTTCTGAGTGAATCCGGATCTTAAAGGGATCGTTCATCCAAAAATGATCATTCTGTCATCATTTACTCTAAACCTGTGGCTTTTGTTCATATTCAAAATGAAGATATTAATATTAATATTCTCTCATAATTTTTGTCTATCCGTTTCATGCTTCAAAAAATTCATTAAGTCATTGTTAATGCAATCCGCATGAATGGAGTGGTTTAATCCAAGTCTTCTGAAGAGACACGATCTGCTTTTAAACTTTCTTATTTGAGTTTTGCTCTTTCAGATGAACTGCTTTCTGTTGGACTGTAATGTTTTGCCGATCTGATTTGATGAATCACAAACACTGAGTAGTTAGAATAGAAACACTTGCGTTTTTCCTTGAGTAGTTCAGTCGGTTGTGTTACGTGTCATTCCTCAGATTTCTAATGTGTCTCAATATTTTTCTTTCTTTCAGAATCAGATCGGATCTGCTGCAGCGGTGACGAGAGGAACAGGATGATTCGCTCAGCAAGTGTCCTTGTCTTCTTCCTCTTCACAAGATTGTTCAGCTCGACTAATGTTTTTGTGGGGTCACGGTTTGCGTTAACATCTCCACTTGGACTTCTGATCTCTCTTTGGTGGGTTAGGTGTAGTTCTAGTTTTAACAAGACAAATATACAGTATATTGTGTTTTCATAGAGCAGCCCAGTGTTGTGCCGCACATGTGATATTACAGTATTTCAGATGTTTTATTATTTTCCAGTAATATTTAGAATCAAAGGTAGTGATGCCTGATTAGAAAACAAATTAGAGTTTGAGTCAGTTCTTATCAATGAATCAATCACACAGGTGAATTCCTTCTGAATCATTCGGACAGTTCAACTCACTGAGTTGTTCTGAGTGTTTCTCATGTGATGCAAACTCTTTACCTTTCGCTGAAAATTCACCTTTATGAGATCAAAATAGGTCACCTATGACACTGGCGTAGATCCGATGAGAAAGTGTTGGGAGGAGGTCACAATTGTTTTCTTTTCCCCACACAAACATTTTCAAACTTGCATGTGCCTGTTTGTGTGCACACTCTGGTTTCGAATTATATTTTCATGTTTTCGCAAGTTTACGGAGTTCTGCATGCTCGCAAATATTCCCATTATAACAAGAGAAAAAAAGCATGCACACGTGTATATAAGAATATAAGCTTCTACCATTAAAGATAAAACTTAAAGCACTTTTTTGATGTGTCCTTTTTAAGGAAATGTTTAAAAAAGGTAGTTTTTAAATTAAATCTAAACATATTTGAAAAATATTTAATGCATTATTAATTATTATTATTATTTATTATTATTATAATAAATAATAATATATACTCGTTTTAATTATTGTGATTGGCTAAACTGCCTCTAGTGCGCATCTAAGCGTCCCGCCCCTCTCCTCAGCAGCATGTGCTCCGGTTGTATTGTAAACAAAGGCGTTGTTAATATCGCTTATCAGTTTGAGCCCGATTAAGAAGCAGAGGATATTATTGAAGAGGATCGTGCAGAACCTGTGCAAGCATGGCTTTTAATGGTAGGCCTATGTTTTTTGTTTGTTGTTGTCTCATACTTTTAGAGACGCTATTACTTATAAATGCTACTGCTTATGTTAGCTTTTAATATACAGTTTTATTCTGATTAAAGCTTTAATACAGTACGGCAACTGTACGCACGTCCATGTTTAATGCTTCTCATAGCTATGTGAAAATAAGTGTATAATTGGAACAGTTCATTGTTGGAGCTGAGCTGAGCTGAGAGAGAGCGAGAGAGAGAGAGATACAGAGTGTGTGCAGAGCAGGGGACGCGAGGAACAGTATTGAGAACCGCTGCTTTAGAACACTGATTTTGAATCTTGTGAATCCATTAGAATCGTTAGAAGACAGAATCTCGATTCATATATGAATAGATTGTTACGTGCACCTCTAGTTTTCTCTTCCTGTTTGCTAAAGCAGCGCTGCATGGCCCCGCCCCCTTTGCTGCCTTTTCCAGAGGGCGGGGTTTATCTGGGTTTGTGATGTCACGAACCCGGGAAGTAGCTCGTTGTAGTCCCTACGAGTCGTTTTTGTAGGCATTAAACTGCCAGAATTTTAAAAGACGATATCTCTGTTTGCATTGAACTTTCAGCGTCGTAAATTTGCAGATATTGTTTATGCTCAAACAGCAACATTACACACTAACTAACGTTAAAAAAGTGAAATCGAAATGAACCACCCCTTTAAGGTCAGGGCTACTTCGGTTTGTCCAGAGATCTACAAGTATGCAACTTTTGTCTGTGACTTCAGATTTACTGATACTCATGTGTGGCTATTCTCTACAACTACAAATTCCGCTGTCACGGTCACTCAGTTGTTTTGCACCAAAAATACCTTCATAAGAGTCAGACTGAACCCAGTGATTGAGTGAGACAGAATCACAGTGCACACTGACATTCACTGCTGTCTGTAGATCACAGTAGAGGAGTCTGATGCACTGATGCCATCTGCGACCGTCCGGCTCGTTCTTTGTGAAACCTGGTGTCGGTGTCGGTGTGAGTGTGTGCGTTTGTGTGTGTGTGTTAGTGTGTGTGTTTGTGTGTGTGTGTTAGTGTGTGTGTGTGTGTGTCTGTGTGTGTGTGACTGTGTGTTTGTGTCTGTGTGTGTGCGAGTGTGAGTGTGTGTGTCTGTGTGTGTGTGTGTGTGTTAGTGTGTGTGTGTGTGTGTCTGTGTGTGTGTGACTGTGTGTTTGTGGTGTGTGTGTGTGTGTGTTTGTGTGTGTGCGAGTGTGAGTGTGTGTGTGTGTGTCTGTGTGTGTGAGTGTGAACGTGAGCGAGTGTGTGTGTGTGTGTGTGTTTGTGTGTGAAGCAGGCCCAGTCTGTCAGGTCACTGGGTTTCTCGGAGACTCAGGGTTGTGTGTGAAGGTGGGGAGGTGTGCATCGGGTGGCGTGCCAAGCGTTGACTGTGTGTGTGTGTGTGTGTGAGGTCATGGCCCACATCCGAGCCGTGCCAGGACGGGAAGTGGAGCAGCATGGAGACGCTGCTCTCCTTCATGAACAGATCCATGTGTGTGTCTGTGTGTGTGTGTGTGTGTGTGTGTTCATCAACACAATGAGACGCCGGAGCTGAGAGAGTGTCATACTGTCTGCTCACAATGAGCTGTTGTTTGTTGGGCTTGTAAAACAGTCATGTGTGCATGATTTATTCTTTCTGTGTGTTGGAGCTCATTGTAATCTGGTTTAGTGTATCTGATGAATTAGCCTACAGAACTTCATGATATTCAGCGGATACTGACTCACTGTCGTTCATGGACACAAACGCTCTTCAGCGCATCATGAAAGGATCGTGTGAAGGAACCTTTGACCTTTGACCTGCTCTAAGCATCAGCATCCTAGTCATCAATATTAGGCTTTTTTCTTTTCTTTTTTTGACATTAAAAGTGATAGTTCAGCCCAAAATGAAAATGTTGTTATCATTTACTCACCCTCATGTTGTTCCAAAATGAGAAAGTTTCTTTCTTCTGTTGAACACAAAAGAAGATATCTTGAAGAGTGTGGGTAAGCAAACAGTTTCCGTCCCCATTGACTTACATAGCATTGTTTTCTCATGCTGTGGTTCAGCAGAAGAAAGAAACTCAACTTGAAGTTGGAAAGGCTTGAAGGTGAACTGTCCTTTTAAGAGCAAGACACACATGAACATGAATATCAGAGCAAAAACAAAACCCTGATGTCAAAATAATATATATGTATAATTTACATTAATCATTTCAAAAATCCATTTGAATAAATGAATCAATGACTCATCACTCATAAAGGCTTCTCTTTCTTCATTACTGGATGAATCAGTGTTTTTGAAAGGATCTCTTGAAAGAGTGATTCAATGACAAATACATTTCCTACCAGTCACTTGTCGCCACCTACTGGCGTAAAATGTAATGAGACAGTCTTTCTTCGAAAGGTCAAGTTACTTTCAGAAAGTGATCTATTCTATATTGATCGCTACTAAAGACAACAGTGTTTATATCCAAACTATAACATTTTATCCCAGTAGCTCTGGGATTATCTTTTTACCATTCGAATGTGAATGTTTGTGTTTTCAGAGAGAAATCGTCTGGCATGAGGGGTTCAGGGTGTTTTTGCAGCACTTGCTGACTGATCAAGAGAAGCAGAAGCACTTCACGCTTGTGTTTTTGTGATCTGCTGGCAGTTTGCTCGCGTCCCACGCTCTGAGTCAAACCTTCTAGCGCTGATCCAGGCCCAGCCTCTGTAGACCCAGCAGAGCCGTCTGAGAGAGCGTGAAGCTGAGCTCAGATCAGCAGCAGACGCAGAGAATCGAGTCTCTTCCTCAGGAAGAAGCAGACCTGACTGTGTGACACGCAGGTCTCCTCCAGCCGGATGTTTGCAGAGCTCAGTGGCACACCTGCTGCAGGACGATGTTTGCTGGGCCTGCTGTGGTTGAGATCTGCTGCTGAAGTGAAACGGCTTGGCTCTCTTCCAGAGGATGCACTGTGCGATATTTCGAGAAAGGAGAGTAGTCATGTGTGCATGATTTATTCTTTCTGTGTGTTGGAGCTCATTGTAATCTGGTTTAGTGTATCTGATGAATTAGCCTACAGAACTTCATGATATTCAGCGGATACTGACTCACTGTCGTTCATGGACACAAACGCTCTTCAGCGCATCATGAAAGGATCGTGTGAAGGAACCTTTGACCTTTGACCTGCTCTAAGCATCAGCATCCTAGTCATCAATATTAGGCTTTTTTCTTTTCTTTTTTTGACATTAAAAGTGATAGTTCAGCCCAAAATGAAAATGTTGTTATCATTTACTCACCCTCATGTTGTTCCAAAATGAGAAAGTTTCTTTCTTCTGTTGAACACAAAAGAAGATATCTTGAAGAGTGTGGGTAAGCAAACAGTTTCCGTCCCCATTGACTTACATAGCATTGTTTTCTCATGCTGTGGTTCAGCAGAAGAAAGAAACTCAACTTGAAGTTGGAAAGGCTTGAAGGTGAACTGTCCTTTTAAGAGCAAGACACACATGAACATGAATATCAGAGCAAAAACAAAACCCTGATGTCAAAATAATATATATGTATAATTTACATTAATCATTTCAAAAATCCATTTGAATAAATGAATCAATGACTCATCACTCATAAAGGCTTCTCTTTCTTCATTACTGGATGAATCAGTGTTTTTGAAAGGATCTCTTGAAAGAGTGATTCAATGACAAATACATTTCCTACCAGTCACTTGTCGCCACCTACTGGCGTAAAATGTAATGAGACAGTCTTTCTTCGAAAGGTCAAGTTACTTTCAGAAAGTGATCTATTCTATATTGATCGCTACTAAAGACAACAGTGTTTATATCCAAACTATAACATTTTATCCCAGTAGCTCTGGGATTATCTTTTTACCATTCGAATGTGAATGTTTGTGTTTTCAGAGAGAAATCGTCTGGCATGAGGGGTTCAGGGTGTTTTTGCAGCTCTTGCTGACTGATCAAGAGAAGCAGAAGCACTTCACGCTTGTGTTTTGGTGATCTGCTGGCAGTTTGCTCGCGTCCCACGCTCTGAGTCAAACCTTCTAGCGCTGATCCAGGACCAGCCTCTGTAGACCCAGCAGAGCCGTCTGAGAGAGCGTGAAGCTGAGCTCAGATCAGCAGCAGACGCAGAGAATCGAGTCTCTTCCTCAGGAAGAAGCAGACCTGACTGTGTGACACGCAGGTCTCCTCCAGCCGGATGTTTGCAGAGCTCAGTGGCACACCTGCTGCAGGACGATGTTTGCTGGGCCTGCTGTGGTTGAGATCTGCTGCTGAAGTGAAACGGCTTGGCTCTCTTCCAGAGGATGCACTGTGCGATATTTCGAGAAAGGAGAGTGCTGGTGTTTGAGCGCTGGAACAGAATCTTCATGCCGGTCCAGGTGGCTGCTGCTGGTTTGATGTTGGCTTTGTTGGTTTACCTACACAGTCACA